GGTAAAGACGAATTGGAAGAGAATTGTGAGTTGTTCTGGTGATCATTAGAGATGTCTTTGGTGAAGTGAATCAGCAACAAGGTGGAAAATGCCATTTAAAGCATTAAAAGTCCCTATTTCTACAGGACATGTAAGAGGGAAACAAATCCCTTAATAAGTAAAGTGGAAGTAAGAACTAAAAAAGCAGCTCAGGCATAAAGACAAGAGTTATGTGTGTGTCTGCAGGAAGGGCAACACCAGCATGTAACTGCTCCTTGTGTAATGCTTAGCTTGCTGTGGGCAGAAAGCCTCTGGAAGTTTGTGTGTGGCTCAACAAGTGAGAGACCCACACAAATTAAATGTTTGGTTCAGTGGTGGGATTGCTGTGCTTGGCATCACTCCCTGTGCAGATACACAGGGTCAAGCTGAAGAGAGCAGTGACCATCCCCTCATGGCTGGGCACAGAACCAAAACAACCCCTTGGATACATATTCAGGGATGATGGGATCTGAAGGTAAAGAGCTTCTCAGGGAATACTGGATTATGTGTATATATGATATTGGATTGGTTTTTCAAAGCACAAGAAGCTGAAGAAGCAGCAGCAGAACATGGAGTTTTAGGGATGGAAGAGCAGAGTGACAGGGAAGAGCTTCCCAGGCTGGTGGTGACTAGACATGGGCTGGGCTGGAAAAAAGGCTCAAATTTTCCCTGGGCCAGGTGGACTGCAGGTCAGAAGGGGATAAAAGGCTTCCTAATATAAATGTAAAAGCTGAGGTAAAAGTGGAAAAGCAGAAAATCAACAAAAAGTTGGGGTGACAACACCAGAGGCGAGGCCTGAATGTATTCAGAGCTGCAGTTTGGAGCTGCAGGTCAATGTTGAAACAGCATTTGGCAACAAAGACACAGCAGGATCGAGAATGTGTCAGCAGCAGATGATTTCAGCAGGTGCACAGTTTGACACATGTAATAAAAAAAGGTAATAATGTAGCAGATAGCTGTTAAGCCTCACAGAAGGGTGCTTATTGAATCAAAAGTGTTCACTTTAAATAAAACATGTGGAAAAGTGGGGAAAATATGAATTGGTGTAGGGTAAGAAAGTCAACAAAATAACCCCTGAAATGGAGTTTCCGTGAGCAGATTTAAAGCCTAATTCAAAGCTGTATCTAAGCAGAAACACAACAGGTTCTGTGTTTGTAGGAGAAGAACACTGTGGCATTGCTCTGGCCACTGGGTGGAAACAGTAAAACCCTTGGCTGGCAAACTGTGCAATGACTCCTTGGGACAAAAGGCACGTGTCTGCAAGCAGCACAGAGCCCAAAGCTGTGGGGGGCTCAGAAGAGCTCTAAGGGACAGCAAGGTGGAATCAAATTGAATTATTCTGGGGGAAAAAACAGTTGGAATCTCACTAGTCCATGGCACCTGCAGGCAGGAAAGGTATTGAGAAGGCTTAGTACTTATTAACAGTGCTTAGTAAAAGTGTTTAATACTTATTAAAAGTATTTCTGACAGTGATAGTGCTTGACACTGTCACAAATAACTCTGGCAGCAGCTCCCTGCTGCAGCCTGATTCCCTGGCCATGGATTTCCCTGTTCCTTCCTCCTGTGCTGGCTCTGAGCTTCCCACGGCTTCATTCCCGTGGGAACAGGAACAGGGACACAAATGACACAAACCTGCCCAAAAAGTGGAGCAGAGGAGACAGAGCAGTGGGTGGTGATCCTGCAGTGTGGCTGTAAGGAATGTGAAGGGTCTGCTCTTCCCCTCTGGGATGGATTTTGAGGTAAAAACCAGAGAAGGAGACAACAGCTTTCCTCCTCTGTTTGTAGGTCCGTGGCTCAGCCAACACGGGTGCTGGGGCACATCCTTGCAGTGGGCAAAAGGAGAGCTGCTGGTCTAATTTCATCTTTTCCTTCTTGGTATTTTAAAGCTCAGTAGCAAAGGAGCACATTCCCTCTTCTTCCCTGCTGCTGTACCTTCCCCTCCTGCCAGAGAGGCACCGCAGGGGGAAAAAGCCAAAGAACACATTTTTCTGCAGCTGCACAGGGCTTGTTTCACACTCACAGGCAAGACAGGAATGTTCAGCAAAGTGGAGCCATCTGTCTGCAGCACTCCCAGGGCTGCTGGGCTCCACATCACACGGATCCTCTGGAGTGGAGGAGACTGAACGGGGCAGGCTTTGCTCACAAGCCTTGAGAAGGTGACATTCTCAGGTGCAGTAAACTTAAGGTAGTCACCTACAGGGGAAAGAGCTGGGAAAAGCTTGGACAAGAAACAGGCATTAGTGCAGAAATAAGACACTTCTGCAGTGCTTTGAATGGTTTAAATGCTTCTAAATGTGCTCACAGAGGGGTTTCCCATCACAGCAGGGATAAAAGGGCCCAAATAAATGGGTAAGTGCCCATATGGTGTTCAAATCATAAAAACACAGATGGGGAGAGAGGTTAGCAGGAGATGGGTAAAGATTATGTGCAGAAAACAAAAATTAGAAAACTGCTCAGACAAGAGACAGCAGATGAAACTGCTGTGGTGTACAGGAGTCACCCTGGAGCTGTTCAAAATGCATGGATGTGGCATTGAGAACATGGTTTAGTGGTGCCTTTTGCAGTGCCATGGGAAAGGCTGGACTCAGTGACCTTAACGTTTTTTTTCTAATTTTAATGATTCTGTGACTCTAAGCATGCTTATGACAGAAAATAAGAATAGGTAGGGAATTGAGGAATTCTACCTTAAACTCAAGGTTAGGTAAAGCAGTGGGTTTTGAAGGAAGGGGAAAAAGAAAGAATATCCATGGGTCTAGCTAAATAAAGTAAACTTGGAGCAAAAGTGTAGCAAGAGGTACACAGGAAAAGCTTAGCTTTTACCTCTCGGTGTATCTGCACAGCTGAGATTACTGTGGCAGTGAAGATACAAGTGTGGGTCACACCTCAGCTCTGCCTTGCCTCGATAATCCTCACCCTGAGCAGTGGAGGCGCAGGTAAAAACTGCCTGAAGCAGCAAAGCATCATCAGGAAAGGGATCCTTCCCACATGTGAGAGCTTGTGAGCATGTTGTGACAGAAAATTCCCAGCTCGCAGCCAGACCTCAGCACTGGGACGGGTGTAATTACGGCAGGCAATAATTACACGGCTAATGAGGGATGGGGGTGAAGAGGCTGAGGCAGAGGGAAGGCAGCACTGGGGATAGCGCAGAGGGTGAGAGGAGCACGCAGCAAGAGGTGAGATACAGGCTGGAGTGCTCCGGAACGGGAATTCACGGCTACACACAGAATAGCTGGGGTCGGAAGGGACCTGTGGAGAAGATCCAGTTCAAACCCCTGCCTAGGCAGGATCACCTGGAGAGGGTGACACAGGAACTCGTACACACGGTTCTGGCAGGGCTGAGGCGGCGTGGTGAGGATCCAGGGGGGCTGGGCTGAGGATCCCGGGGGGCTGTGGTGAGGATCCCGGGGGGCTGGGCTGGGGGCCCGGCGGGGCTGGGCTGAGGCTGCAGTGGCGCTGGGCTGGGGGCCCGGCGGGGCCGAGGCCCTGCCGTGTCCCCTCAGCGGCCCCGCCCGGCGGGAATCGCCTCAGCGCCGTAGCGGCGGGAAGCGCGCGCAGCCCCGCACCGCGCACGCGCGCGTTCTCGCGCGACGTGGAGGCGGTGGGGCCGGGGTGGGG